CACACTACATTCCCATATGAAATGAATTATTCTGGATGGGATCTAGTCAGCCCCACTCCTCCTGAGAAGTCTGTGGCCACATCACTCAATGTTATAAACCTCTGAAATGATAAATACATTCTTGTTCACCAGAACACGCCCCCCCCCCAACCTGACATGGTGCTGGGGAAAGTGACAATGCTGGCCACACTATGGGAAAGGGAGGGTTTGTACAACAGAATTGTTCTGGTCAAGTTTGAGGCGTTGGTCATTCTAGACAAGTAATTACTCAGCAACAACTATGTGTTCTGTTGTCACCCTGAATGGGAAAGAAAAATGCTAGCCTCCCGTTTTGTGAACGATTTACATACATGAAGCAACAAATGAGGCACTTATTCAAGTACTAAACTGCACATTACACACACTAGACGTGAGGAAAGTTCTTACAAGAGGCAGTCAGTTGCTTTAAAGATAGGACATTAAAAAATGGGCAAGGTGTACATAGAAAGTGAACATAATATGATTTATTTTCACAAGTATGGACTTACAAAATAAATGTTCTCACTGTAAATGCAACAAAAGAGGAAAACTGCCTTGGCATTTTCCTGTTCTATAACTTACATTTACTTCTGACTAAGACATGTCTAGTCAGATTCAAGGATAAACATGAGTTAGCATAACCTTAAATCCAAACACTATCTCAGTTAAAACCATAAGACACCTAAAGATGTTTCTACGATTGTGTATGTTTCCACAAAAACACATTCCTCTTGCTGATGTCAATATTGTGAGAGTTGCATTTTCAGAATCATATATGATATGGGGGGGAAACTCAGCAAATATCAGATTAACTATAAATCAAAAGATTTATTTATAGCTCTTTCGAATATGTTTTTTTTTTAAAAAAAAAAAAAAAGCAAAACAAAGATTCCCTCGGTAATTACATAAAAAAAAATTCCCACACTGGTATTTCCTCCAGGACTTCCCAGAACTCCAAGGTTTTCCTCTACCCATTATAATGATGCCCCCAGTATAAGTCTATACACTTTAAATTTTGCATAAAGTCAACCTATAATCAATCCATTTATAGGGTTGCTTTTTCTCCTTAAAAGAGTATTTTATAATTTAATAAAGATTGCATGGTACATGAAGGCATTCCCAAATCCCTGCTTGTATGTATGACTGCTGCATTATGAATTTTGTGATGTCCAGGAAAAAGCACGCCTTCACCCATGCATTCTGTCGTGCTGGAACTGACAAATGCAGGACGAGAGCTAATCTCTAACTAAAAGCTTTCTCATTTGCATTGGACTTTATCTATCCCTTTCCTGGAAGGAATTTATAAATGTAGAGTAAGGAAATCCTAGCAGAGAAAGAGTCTTCTACATATTGAGTGACTGCATTCTCTAACATTACAAAAAAGAAAAGAAAAGGAAGCTTTAATGGCTTTCCCACATATTCCTGGATTTTTTTCTCCAAGCATGGATCACGTCTTCATATGTCAACATATTCACATAAGGCTCTGAAATCAAAGTAAGGCATCAGCTGCTATATTTTTAAATGCAAACATCCTTAGGTTTTCTCACCAGGAGGAATTCCCTGGTGTTCAGTAAGGATCGAGTGGTAACTAAATGAATTTTCATATTCACAGGGATTTTCTAGACTGTGTGTTCTCTGATGTTTGGCAAGGTTTGAGCTCCAGCTGAAGGATTTAGTGCACACCTTACATACATAGGGCCTCTCCCCAGTATGAGTTATCTGATGTAGAATGAGGGAAAAGCTCCGATTAAAGGTTTTGTCACATCCAGTGCAGGCATAGGGCTTTTCTCCGGTATGAATTTTCATATGTTGTATGAGGGATGCATGCCAAGTGAAAACTTTGCCACATTCATCACATTCATAGAGCTTCTCTCCAGCGTGAATTCTCTGATGTTTAATAAGGAAGGAGTGGCAGCGGAAGGCTTTCCTACATTCAGTACACTCGTAGGGGGTTTTGGTAGTATGAATGCTCTGATGTCGGGTAAGGTGAGAAGAACGGCGAAACGCCTTCCCACATTCAATGCATTCATAAGGTTTCTCTCCAGTATGTGTAATCTGATGACGAATGAGTTCTGAACCACTGCTAAAGGCCTTCCCACATTTCCTACATAAATACTGTTTCTTTCCTATGTGAATTCGCTGATGTCGAGTGAGGTTTGAGGCACGGCTAAAGGCCTTCCCACATTCAGTACATTCATAGGGTTTCTCCC